ATCACACCACACCACAATCACACCAATCACGCAATCACGCCACACGACACCACACCGACAATCAGCAGACGGCGCGCCGTCTCGGACTGTCGGTGTGGCGGTGGTCTCTGAACGTATCGTCATTAAAAACGATCCGTATCACACGCGTTGTCGCGTTGCGTTCTTTATAGAATCGCGTCGGCCGACGACCCTCGGGTGCAGTGAGTGCCCTGCTTTAGACACACGGGTATTCCTGGCCCTTTTCTGATTGGTCAGCTGTTAAGTTTGATTGACACTTCGGAAAGGTCCATTGCAGTGAGAAGGAATAGCTGCAAACGAGCTTCAGCTCAAGTTATGCTTTCTCATCTCATGGATGGCACCTGATTTCCCAACCCAGACTTTTCGTCGTAACCAGGACTACCGTACATTTTCGCTAAACCCTCCGCTTTGATATTGCTGCTAATGTCCCAAAAAACGACAATTGTTAAACATACGCAAGCACGTGTGTTTCGGGACAACAAGCGGGCTTGTTAGACACGCGCGTATTCCTGTCCCTGTTCTGATTGATCAGTTGTTAAGTTTGACTAACACTCCAGAAAGGTCCATTGCATTGAACAGGAATACTGCACACGAGTTTCAGCTCAACTTATGCTTTGCCATATCGTGGATGACACCTGATTTCCCTATCCAAAATTTTAGTCGCAAGCCGGACCTTTCATTATTCTACGGCGTGCATTTTGGAACAAAGACATTTCGAACCCCCTAAATTCTTAGTTACGAAAATTCCGGGTTACGAAATGCCGATGATTTTGATATAAACTTGCTCACTTTTCAGTAACATATAAATGGTTAACTTGAGCATAGAAAATATTAATTTTAAAAATATGAACCCTGATTTTTATAGTGGATAATGATAAAAAAACACTTTTTAAAAATACTCTATTTTCTATGTTCAAGTTGATAAATTTTATGTTCATTCAAAATAACGCCACTGCTTATGGTAGTCTACGCACGCACGAGGAAAAAACTACAACGTGAGTTTGGGAGTTGAACAAGTCGTTTGTGTGTGGCGAATAAAAGTAAGCCTTGCCCCTTTGTCTATTTTTTAGTTTAGTTGATTTGATTTTTAAAAATTTATTAATGCTTTCACCTGTACGGTTTTTAACAATTTAGCCTACTTTTATGGTGTAAGGCTCGAATAATTTCTACTGTACACAAACGTTTCCAATTCAAAAAGGCTAATATGGTGGCGCACTTCAAAATAATTTTCAAAAAAATACAGCAGTTTGAGTTTTATCGTATTTCAAAAACTGCACAACTGGTAGGGCGAAATCAATATTGCCATATTTGTCCCAGGACGTTAAATAAGGGTCCGGAGGAAAAAAGATATGTCGTACAGCTTATTTTTCTAAGGCATAAACCTCAGAAACGGTTAATGTAATGTTCGAACTATAGCTGCAATGGTAATAGCCAAGGTGATATGGAAATTCACAACCATTGCCCGCTATATTATAAGCCGAATTTTCATAGGTCAGTGCATTTGTAGATTCAGTGATTGAAAGCAAAAACTGTTCATGCATATCACGGTAATTTTGTATTGGACCATTACAAAATTTAGTAATTGCTTTCACTGGACAATGACAAATTATTATAAAAAGTTTCATTTAGATTCATATTGACAGGCTTTTAGAGATATTTAGGTCTGGGACGTTAGAAGTTTAAATGACCCCCAAATTCACACCCAAAACTGGATCGTCACACAAATTATTTCTTCCTTGTGACGTGACTTGGTTAAACTTTCCTGAGAATTCCATGCACCTAGGAATGGAAGAAGAACCAGGCCAAAAGCAAGGTGGAGAGATGACATAACATGCACAACATGGGCAAGAGAAGCAGTTGATTTTTAAAGATCACAAAGAGGCCTACATCCGACAGTGAGTGGGCAAAGTAAAGTAAAGTAGGCCTAGAGTAAAGTAAAGTAAAGTACAGTAATATAAATAGTGGTGTTTGAGATTATTTTTTTTTTTTTTGAAATGCTTGACTATAAACACTGGTACATTGTTTTGGAGTACCGTGCTCCCCTCTTTCTCCTGTCTTTCTTTTCTTCTACCTTCTCTCTCTCTCTCTCTCTCTCTCTCTCTCTCTCTCTTTCTCTCTCCTCCGTTCCCCCTCCCCCTCCTCTCTCTCTTTGATGTTTATTTTTTTCAATTGTAGTTTCAATTGGCTGTTTTTTATCGTCAGGATGAGGAATTTGTGCACCTGGCGTGATGAGCTGATATTTATGTTTGGCGCCCTCTAAAAAGTTTATCCACGCTTCGCTTTTTCCCACTAGGCAAATTTATTTGCGCAACACGACCTGTGAGATACGCCAGGCGTACCTAACGCCAGGCGTACGCTAATCCATGGCGTAACTAGCGAGATGTCCAGACTGGGCGATTAATGAACGCTAGCGTAAGTATTCGCGCGAAATATTCGTATTCGTAATTCGCGCATTTTATTTTCTGTTTACATCTAGG